GACAATCGTTTCAATTTTCTAACATTTTTTATTTCAAAAAAAAAAAAATAAATAAAATAACAATAATAAAATATATATTACAAAAATAATCGGCATAAACAAAAAGCACGATGGTGGTGGCAACTTCTGCGCACCACTCAAATCAAAGCCACTCTAGTTAATTAATATAAAATCCCATGTTTTTTTTAGCATTCTTTTTGCTTATTAGCAATAAGATTTAAAGCGCTACCCATTTTGAACCATTCAATTTGATCCTTTGACATAGTATGTTTTGTCACTACTTCAAAATTATTTCCATTTCCATATTTTTTAACTTTAATAATGACATCTTTACCGGGTTCCAATCCAACAACTCCAACCGTTTCAATTATATCTCCTCCAGAAAATAATTCATAATCTTTTTCGTTTTTAAAGACTAAAGGTAATACTCCTTGTTTCTTTAAATTTGTTTCATGAATACGTGCAAACGACCTAGAAATAATTAATGGGCAACCCAAGTATCTAACTTGCAACGCGGCATGTTCTCTTGCTGATCCCTCTCCATAATTATGCTAAAAAAAAAAATGATAATTATTTAAATTGAAGATTTTTTTTTTAAAAAATAAAATTTTATACAGCACTCACATCAGCTATAATTATCCACGAAACATTATTTTCTTTGTAATGACGTGCAACATCTGGTATACTTCCATCCTATTTCAAAATCAAACTAAATTTAGACAAATTTTTTAACATAATCAAATCTTGCACCATTATCAAAATTGACAAATTTACCTCTCCAGTTAAAATGTTTCTTACAACATTAACCTTTTCATTGTCAGAATTTAATGCTCCTATTAAAGTATTATTTGAAATATTTTCTAAATGTCCCTTGTATTTTAACCAAGGCCCGGCTGCTGATATATGATCTGTTGTACATTTTCCCTTAACTTTAACTAATACTCTCATTCCTTTAAATTCATCTCCATGCCATGAAGCAAATGGTTTTAATTTTTGAAGCCTATTGGAATCTTCAGATATAGTGATCTCTGTTGATGAATTGCCAAATGTAATTATTGGTTCTAAATCTTCGTTACCTATGAAAAGGAAGATAGATTAGATTCGGCTAGTTTTTAATGAATCTTAATCAATTAACGAACCAGATTCGAATCCTTGACGAGGTAATTCGTCACCATGTGGAATTTGGAATTTAAATGGCTTTCCATCTTTATCTATTAAAGTATCTACCATAGGATTGAATGATAATTTTCCAGCAAATATCATAGCTGTAACAATCTACATCAAAAGATATATGTTGGAATATGTTGGAATAGATAATAATATTAGCCGAATAAGAATTAAATTTATAAAAGATCCCTACTTCTGGAGAAGCCAAGAAATTCATTGTCCCAGGATTATTGTCATTTCTGCTTCTAAAATTACGATTAAACGAAGTAAGGATAGCATTCTCTTCGTTTTCTTTGATACCAGTTCTTTTCCACTAAACAAGCAAGATACCTGGCGTTAAAAAGTCTTTTTTTTTTCACAAAAAAAATGCTAACTTGATTATAATTTGATTATAATTACCTGACCTATACAAGGTCCACAGGCATTAGCTAAAACTTTGCCACCAACTTGTTCTAGTACTTCAGTTTGTCCATCTCTTACCATCGTGGCTCTAATTTGTTCACTTCCAGGCGTTATAAAAAAATCTCCCTTTGGTTGTATTCCTTTAACTAATGCTTGATTTGCTAAACTTACAACACGGCTCATATCCTATTTAAATTTTTTCCAAAAAAATTATTTAATGTCTTTTTTTAAACAAAAAAAAAAGAAAAGAAAAAAATTTAAATATAATAATTACTTGATAGCTACTATTAGTGCAACTTCCAATTAGACCAACTTTAACTTCATCTTTCCAACCGTTCTTTGCAACTACTTCAGCAAATTTACTAAGTGGAGTCGACAAATCTGGCGTAAAAGGTCCATTAATATGAGGTTCAAGCTCGGATAAGTTCATTTCTATAAATTGATCATATTGTACGTTGCCATCAGCTTTGAGATATGAAGCATATCTTAATGCCTCTTCGGCAACCTGATGTCTCCTTGTTTCTGTTAAATATGAATACATGCTATCGCTAAATGGAAACACGGAAGTCGTTGCACCAACCTAACGGAAGATAAATTTTAGTTAATCAAAAAAAAAATTCATCAATTTTAAATAAATATATCATAAATAAATATTATTACTTCTGCCCCCATATTAGCTATTGTGGCCATTCCAGTGCATGATAAAGTTTCAGACCCAGATCCAAGATATTCGATAATATGTCCTGTTCCTCCCTAGGATCAATCATCATCAACTTATATAAATTAGAGCCTGAAAGAAATTTCAACCAAAAACTTTCATGCATCATAAACTTGACTCACTCGAACAGTCAATTTCCCGGCTAGATGTAAGATAACATCTTTTGGACTTGCCCATTTAGATAATCTTCCATTTAACTTAATTCCAATGATCTTTGGCGCTTTAAGTTCCCATGGAATATTCGCCATTGCATCAACAGCATCAGCACCACCAACTCCAATGGCGACCATGCCTAACCCTCCAGCGTTTGGCGTGTGACTATCTAGTAAATAAATAATTTATTTATAAAACTCGATTAAAATGAATTCAAAGTAGAAAAAAATTGATGTTATTTGATAAATCAACCTGTTCCAAGCATGAGTCCACCAGGAGCAGCATAGTTTTCTAATACAATCTGATGAATAATACCACTTCCCGGCTTCCAAAAATCTATACCATATTTTTCGGATGCACTTTGTAAGAAATCAAAAATCTCCTTGTTCACAGATTTAGCAGTCTAAATAATAATAAGAATTATAATAAATAAATAAAGAATTCAGCTAAGCATCCTTTAAGTTCATATTTATATATATCTATATACCTCGACATCTTTATCAGCACCTTGGAATGCCTCGATTAAATGATCACAGTGTATTGATGATGGGACCGAAGTTGTAGGCATTCCAGCAAGCATAAACTGTAAAATTGCCATTTGTGCCGAAGCATCTTGCATGGCAACACGATCTATCCATTGAAGTCACGTGAGCGTAATCACTTTTACAAAAAAAAATTTTTTAAAAAAATCCTTTACCAGGTTTCAATTTCAAATAAGTTTCACCCCTAACAATCCCACCATCATATTCATGAGGATTCCATAAATGAGCATATAAAATCTTTTCTGAAAGAGTTAATGGTCTGTCTTTAAGTATTTTTTTTTGAACATAAGCTAAATTTTTAATTAATTTTTCATAAGGTGGAGTAATTTTTGCACAATCTTTTACAGGTGGAATTGGGCGATTAGTCATTAATGCCATATTCCTATAATGAATTCGATTTGATATTCTTGATAATAGAGTTGGCCTAATTTGCGCCAACTTTTTTCGGCAAAAAAAAAAAAAAGGTTGATCGGTCATCACATGATTGATTCAAAAATTTTAGTTTGCCACAAGAATTACATACCTCATGATATCTTTTAGTTAAAAATAATGTCATATTAGACATTTTCCTTTTTAAATCGTGATTTAAAAAGGGATAATATTCTAGTAAAATGAAAAAAAAAAAAAATTCAATGATGAAAACTTATGGTCTCATTGATGCACTGTAACACCCCTTTTTATATGATTATCCGCCAATCTCAGGGAAAAAGGGAACAATTATAAAAGAAGCTATCCGGTCATCCGGTCATATATTCAAAACTGTTGATACTAATAATTTTAGGCAAATTCCCGTTTTGCCCGAGCACCTGACATTCATACGTAAATCATCGTCAAATTTTTTGTTTGTAAATTGAATAATCAACAATTGATCTTTTTTGTCCCGATCTAAATTTCTAAATTTGGTATATCTCATATTATCGATTATCATTGTATGAAAAAAGCCACAAGTTTTGGATGATAATCTTCGGAAAATTTTTTGAGCGAAAATTTTCTTTAGAATAAAGAGTGAAATGGGAGAATTTTATTTAAAACCATTCTATTTATCAAATCCATTTTGGATTTGAGAAACAATTAAACATGATTTTTAAAGCTTAAACGAACACAAGACGTCCATAATTTGACATGCGATGTACAAAAAAAAGAGAAATACTTTTAATTAAATTTTTACACGGAAAATGATAAAAAGGCAATAAAATAAACGACCAGCTAAAAACAAACAACAGGGCGTTCTGGGTGCCTTTTATAAGTTTTTCAACATAATTAATTTCCTCGATATTAAAAAAATTGCGATTTACCAAATTAAGGATATCTATGACTGATAGTGAACTAATCTTTTAAATGATGATTTTTTTTTTTTTTTTTTGACTTAAAAAGTGCCCCCCAACAAATAAAATCTTAATTAATTCCTTATGTCTCTCTCCCCCCTTGAGGATTTTCAGATAATAAACATCTTATGCTTCAACATTCAATTGAAATTGAATGACATACCTCGTGCATATATAACTCGAAGATAAAGATAGATATCTTTGGAATTATATAAACCTTTTCTCTGCTCTTTTCCAATCTTTCAACATGTTCATATGTTCTTATGACTATCATGACTATCATGTTTTTATTTAAACATCAAAAAGTTGACTTAAGGCTTTTGGTGAAAATTTCTGACCAAAATTTGGTTTAATGTCGGGTAAATTTTTTTGGTAATATTATGTTTCATGTAAATCCACAATTAACTTCTAGTTGAACTAACTAAATATATTTTTAGGTTCATAAAATTGGCGGATGTCAATCAATTTTGCGTTTGGTATCACGTATCACTTATTAGTATTTCTTATTATGAATTAGTTAGGCAAACACTTTCACAATATAAATAATTATTTTTCCTATAAATTCATTCGTCAACTAGGTGAAAAAATTTTTTTTCTCTCTTCTTCCTTTTATTTTTTTAGTGGTGTTCGCTTTAAAATCAAATGTCCTTGCTTATTATCGGATTCAATTGATATTTTTCAAGTTTTTAAGACATGGAAACTTATTCAAATTTTGACGCTTCAGGTTTAAACTCCAATTCTAATGAAGTTGATCTTAATTTTCAAGTTTATTTTTTACCTATAAGTGAATCTCATTCCCAACAAAGACAAACAACAAACAGCAATAGAAATAATGGTTCCGCCACAAGTTCATTAGTGTCAACGAATTTAACTTCACAAAATTCTCACTTGATGGCCACAGTTTCTTCTTCTTATTCATTATCAAATAATATGTTACCTACTCCCGAAGGTTGTGATAATAATGCTGTATGTCCCGAGTCTTTAATAATGTCTCCATATAATATGTTACCTAACTCTGGTCATTTGACTATGGAAGATACCTTTCAAGATGATGAGGTTCATTTTTATTTTATTTTATTTTTTTTTTCTTATTTTTTTTTTTTTTACGCTTTTTATTTGCCTTCTCAAAACAAATCAAATGATTAACCGGATTAATTTATATATATTTTACACAGTTCTACTTCGAACCATTAGAATCACCAGCTTTAGCTGAATCTTCTGGTGTGCCATTCTTACACAATTATATTCCTGCTGGCCTTCTATCCCCTCAAATCTCACCTACTTTACCTCCAGATTCATCCATGAATATCACTTCCAATTCTCCGGCTAGACGTCAGAGTCACAAAGCAAGATATTCTCCTATAAAGGTTTCTTTGAATAACAACAATTCCATGTCAATAAGAAGGAAATCTTCTTTTACAAATCCTAACAGAAACAATAATTCTAACGGTAATAACAATAACAATAGCGCAAATGGACAGAATAATGCGATCACAAGTTTCATGACAGGTTCGCCAAATAAGTTTTCTAGTAATAACTCGATTACAATGTCCTCATTGTTAGAGTTAACATCACCTTTGTTGAATAACATGGTTGAAACTTCAATAGCATCTTCTATGCAAGATACTATGCCGAATTTGAACCTAGGAAGTAATTTGGTGTCAGATGTTATGAATACACACTCATCAACAAATATCCTTTCAAATGAATCGTCGTCATCTTCATTTTCAGTTAAGATAGCTCCGATAACACCATCCTCATTAATGAAATTGAAGAATAAACAACCAAATTCACCAAAATCGAGTCAGATCGATCTAAAACCTAATTCACAAAAACAATTACCAAAAGACCAGCAAAAGAAACAAGAACAATCTCAAAAGTTACAGTCTCTTTCAAAAGATCAATCTACTTTCATTGCACCGACTCCTCCAACTCAATTGAATCAAATTCGTACAAATATGATCGCAACTACGGGAACAGGTGGGACAACAATACATCATATTAGTTTGTTACATGTATGACTTGATTTCACCAACTATATCATCTATCATACCAGGAATGTCTCCAATAACAACGTCACCGATTCTATCAGCCTCTACATCCGGAGCATCTGGTAGAAAACCAATGCGTTCAAATCCAAATGCATCATCCCCATTGGCGCTTGGACCTTCAGTTCATTTAAAGAGTCCTCATACATTGAAGCCAACTATAAGTCCAAACCTTAAACCCAAGTTACCAGGTGTACTAGCAGATGAAGTTGCTGAAAAATTAGCAAATAAATCAAATTATAGAAGCATTCTAGAAGGAACGGCGCAGTAAGGAAAAATATATAAAAATATATATATATATATTTATTATTTCTTTTTTTTTTTTTGCAGTAATAATTCAGTTTTTTTTTGATTTTTTTTAAAGGTCCCTCGGAATTTCATATCCATCAGATGTACATTCGAGTTTAGAATCTCGACGCACAACTCATAAAGCGGCTGAACAAAAGCGTAGAGATTCATTGAAACAGAGTTTTGATGAATTGAAAAAAGTTGTACCTTATCATTCAATGTTAAATAAAAATAACAGTGATGATGGAAATACTAATAACGCTAGTAAAAGTAATAATGGAAAGTCTGGCAGCGGAAAGCCTGGTAATGGAAAGCCTGGTGATGGAAAGTCTGGTGATGGAAAGTCTGACGGAAAGTCTGGCGATGGGTCTATTAAAAATGTCAGCAAATTATTCTTACTAAAGAGAGGTAAGAATAAAGTGTAAATTTGTCATTTTTAAGCAATTTTTTTTACTATATTTACATGTTTATTTATTTATAGCACATGATCATATTGTGGAACTTGAACAAAAATCTAAAGAAAAGGATGAAATTATTCGAAAGTTGATAGATGAACTAGATGAACTTAAAGGAGTGAAAAGGCAGAAAATAGAAGAAACAAAGAAAAAAAATATTGCTGATGTTGGAGATGATAAGCAGCAAACCATTACATGAATGAATAATCTAAGATTTTTATTTTTTAACATAATATTTGAGATTCGAGGGAAATTTAATCTTATTACTATGAATTCCAACCAACCAACCTAAGACTATTTTTCTTTTTTTTTTAATCCTTACGAACGAATCATTATAAATATATCTACATAGGTTTGCATTATCATATACACTATTAATATCAAATAACGAATAATTATTTATACATCAATATGATTAAGAATATTGTAAATAGAACAAGGTTGAGAACTTACCCATTCACGCATAATTATTTGATATCTAAAACAAGTAATTATATACAACAAAAATGTAATTACGAATTACTTCAATTTAATTGGTTCATTCGAGTTATATTATAATTTATTTATAAATAAAAAAAAAAAAAAAAAAGATTTTGAGATTTTGAGAGAAAAGAGTAAACTTTTACGTGGTGAACGACTTTTTTTTTCTTTAATTTAAATATAATTGGGAAAGTCAAGAAAGTAAAATAAAGTAGTGGGAAAATGTATCATTTTCAAAAAATACATTATTTTGATTTTAGGTTTTTTTTTATGAAATATCATTTTAAAGTAATTATTAATAATGTATTATTATTGTATACGTTTTATGTGAGCACCGAACCTTTTTCATGAATTAAGTTTTAGGTTAATATTGTCATTAATGCAAGATAAATGATTTCGGTTATTAGTACTAGATAAATGCTTTTTGATTTTTTGCCATAAGAAGTGATCATTGTAGAATTAGAGTAAAAAGGTGATTGATCGATATAGAATCTTAGGAATTTGGATTTCTTTAATTATAAATATAGGTAAACTTATTGAACTGAATCATTATAAAATTTTTTTTTGAGTAAATAAATTTATTATATAAAGAGATTAATAAAGTAAAGTTTTATTATACTAAATTTATTAAAATATAAGTTAATGTAAAAAACTTTAACATATTTTGATTCAAAAATCAAAATTTAGTATATAAATATCAAATTAACCTTTTTCAGCTGTTTCTCTCCTTCTATTGCAAAGGTCTTATATATAAAATCTTTTTTAAAAATTTAATATATATCACCTTTATATAAATCATATAGTAAACTATATGAGTATATTAGGCTTAATAGAATTATTCCTTATATAAATAACATGTAATCATATTCCTAAATATTTTATCATATTATATATAACATATGATTAGTTACTCATAATTATCTGAGTTAGAAACTGCATCTACCTTTTCTTTTTTTATCATTTTTTATTATGTAGCTAATATAAATTTTTAACATATTCATTTATTTATTATATGTTTTATTTTATAATGTTATTTGTTTATTTACTTTGTTCTCTATTCATAAAAAAAATATTTATTTAATAAAATAATACTTTACTTATATTTTTTAATTCTTTTTTTATATAATATTTATCAATTTAAAAATTCTTTTTTATACAATTGAAAGTATGCTTATAATTTTATAGAAGTAAACTTAGAGTAAAAAATTAAAATAAAGCTTTTTTCTAAAGGATTATTTATTATTTTATTTTATAATAAATCAACTTTTTAATATCTTTCTGCTTAAAAAAAAAATATACTTGTAATTTGAAGGTGATTAAGAATATAAATAATTAAATATTTTATTTAAAATAAAAATTAGAATAGCAAAAAACATCAGACAAAAATATGCATATATGTGTTAATATAAAATATATAATGTTACCTTTTGCTAAAAAAAAGTATATATATAAAATAAAAATTTTTGATATGTTATTATTATATGATTCAATATATTTTGAGTTTAATATTAATGTAAAAGATTTTGTGAAAGATAATGTAAAATTTGTTTATTTATTTTAAATATTATTAAGTTTTAATATTAATTTATTATATAAAAAAATTATGAAGAAAATTAGAATTGATAAATCAGATAAATTATTATCTCACTTTTTTTTATAAAATAAAATTTATAGAATTATATAGAAACTAAAAAATAAAAATATTATAACTTTGTTAAATTTTTAATTTTTTAATATATATATATATTAATCACTATAAAATCTATTATTAAGCTTTAATTCCTATTGATTTTTAAGTATATTTAATTAAAGTATTATATATTTAATAATACAATTATTGATTTTTATAATAAAATATCATAAATTACAAGTTTTTTTTGATTTTCCTCTACCTATTATTATTCCTTTAAAAATAAATAATAAAAAGCATTTATATGAATTATTTTATAATTTATTATTAATCATTTAATAAATTTTACCTATTAGTAATATTTTATTTCTATATTTGATATTGAAAAGTTTTATAATATTATTCTTTTTTGTTTTAGATCTCACAATATATATTGAATAAATTTATACATATATAAAATGATTTTTATATATAAATATATTAATTAATACTATTTATAATACTAATAATAAAATAAAAAAATATGAATTTATTGTTTTACATTAATTGAGATTAATTAGACTTCTCGTTTGTTATTAGTTTTGGCGTGTGGTTTTATAAAGTTAATAAAATTTATAACAAAAATTTTCAATATTTATTCTTTTGCAGCTTATTATTTATTAAACAAATTTGCTATCTGAAAGCCTTTTAATATTTTTTTTATCAGAACTCATAAGTAATATTCAATCCTATTTACTATTTCTTATAAAAAAAAAGATAAAATTCAAAATAAGCTTAAAGGTTTTCATTTTTGCAATTATTAAAGCTTGTGTTATATTTATAAATTCATTTTATTTGATAAGTTATAAAATAAACATTAAAAAATACATATTAAAAATTTGTAACATAAGATATAATTCATCAAGAATATCAAGAATCCAATTATTTTAATTAATTTTTTAAAAAGTATTAGATTTTTGTATCTTATAATAATTTTTGTTTGTTATTAAATAAATTTTATTAAATAAATACATAAAAATACAATATTAAATATATGTATTTTTTTTGAATTTAACTATATTTATTTATATTATATCACTTATTTTTGTAATAATTTAATACAAATAAAAATAATTTGATATTGCAATATTAATCTCCAAAACTAATGCTATAAATTTTCAATTATTAGAAAAAATAAATTAATATATTAAATTGTTTAACTTAAATCTTTATATTCATTTTAATTGTTCAAGTTTATTGGCTGATACTATAAATAAAAAATTATAAAATTTTTTCTCATATATAAACAAATATTATAATATATAAATTAATAAATAACACATATATAAAATAATATCTAAAATAAAAATTATATATATATTAATAAAAAGAATTCAAAATAACTTTACTCTCATTAAAAATATATATAATAAATATTATATGCTTTACTTACATCCTACTTTTTTTACGTTTTCACTTAATTTTATTTTAATTTTATTATCAATTTTTAAAATAGGTAAGTTTAATTTAATTAAAATAGGAACTAAAATATCTAATAAAAATATAATATACTGATAAGCATTATTATCTATTAAATTCTATTTCATTAATTTTTTGTTAATTTTCATTATCATTATTATCATAAAAAATAGAATTATTAATATTAAAAATTTAATTAGAAAAATTGCTTTCATTATTTTATAATTATATTTATTTTTTTTCAACTGTATATTTTTTTATCAAATTTAAAATTATTTAAACTAATCTATGATAACTATTATACAAAATTAATATTTCATCACAAGCACAAATAATTAAATTCAAATATTATATATAATTTATTATATTTTAAAGTTAAAATACAATTCTATTATTTTATCATTAATTTTAAATTTTATATATTTAATTGTTATAATAATCTTTTCAAATGATAAAGTAAAATTATTTTCTTTAAGAATTATTAAAGTTTATATTACAATATTTTTTCCATTATTAAAATGTGTTTATTCTTCTATGATTATAATTTTAATTTATTAAAAGGTCTTTTTTAATTAATTTATATATAGATTATGTTAGATAATCAATAGTTTTATAAAATTAATACAAAAAATTTATATTAAACTAAAAAAATATTATTTTAGAAATATGTAAATTTAGCTTATTACATATTTCCTACAAAATAAATTTATATTATTAAATAAATGTAATACTCAGTTAATTAATAAAAAAAACCTTTATTTTTAATGAATAAATTAAATAAATATGTAATAAAATTAATTTTAACTTACTTTTAATACTAGAGAACAGTTTTGAAAACTATTATTAAGTTTAAAGTATAAGTGTAATGAAAGGAACCAATCATATATCAACTCAAATTTTAAGCAAGCAAACAAATAAATACCAGGTATAGATATACACTGCCTTACAATAAATTACCGGATTTTATAAATTTTTACTTGTAATTTATAGTAAAATTGAAGATCTTCAGGTTGCATAAATGTTTACTAATTTTTAATAAAAATCATCTGATTTTTTTTTATTTGATAGCTAATCAATTATAGATTTTAGATATTAAAAAAATTTTTAAAACATGATAAACTTTTTTCATTTTAAAGTATAAGCAACTATTTTTTTATATGTTTTTTGCATTTTCATATATAAAAATTATTTTATTTATTACTTTACAATGAGTATTTTTCAGCATTTTATAAATAAAATATTTTTGAATTATATTTTTAAAATTATAATTGATTGGCTATTAAATAAAAAA